CGAATGGGTTAAATAGAATGTCCCATTGCACGTCCTACATCGCACATCACGCGCCGCGACTCGTCCGCCGACTCGGCCTTCTTGCCGCGCGATGGGCCTCCTGGGGGGTACCCGTGTTTGAGATCGGTAAATTAGGTTATGCAAAACTTGTGCGAGCAGCACATAATCGCGTACCGCATTACGCTCGTGGCAAGCAGAAACTTTGCACGACTCCAATATGCATTCCTTCACAATTGCCTGTAAGCATGAAAATGCATCCCCGTCAAATCGTCCCGTGTTTCCTCATATACTAATTTCATGTTTAGTTTTCTCAAAATCAATTCCTCTTTCCAGTCTATTGGTGTGTTCAGCAAGAGAGGACAACAGCCTATTGGCTGTAAGGTTTTTTTTGCATGAAGTTTCCAACTTTGCCGAATTCTTTTAACAGCGTGTCGATAGACAAGGAAGCAGCCAGCTATATTGCCGCTCGAGTACGACTACAGAATATACAATTGGGTCACCGTTCGTCTCTTTCGTGGATCTGGCAATGGTCAATAAGCTCTATGAGTGCAAAAGTGAGGAGAAAAAATGAGCGACTGTTTTGAAAAAGTTTTTAGAGCTATTAGCAGTGATTTGTCTAACACTAAAAACAGTGGCAGTCTTTTTGAAACTCCTCTAAGACGCCTTAAAAATGAGAAAATTAGAGTTCGAAGAAGGTGGGAGTTGCCTGGGGCATGCAGTAACGTGATGACGCTTCTGTGCAAATGCGCAGTGCGACGCCACTTGTGACGACGCATCGTCACGTTGCGGCAGCCAGGATTTCTTTGCGATTGATTCATTACATGCTATCAGAATGGTGCGATGTTGCTGAAGTGGTGGAGTGTAAAATGGGCGGTTTCCCTAATCCACGTAACTGCAGCAAATGTGTCTGTCCTGGTGGTTATGGTGGAGATCGATGCGATGAAAGAGTAGGAAAATTATCAGTCGACTGCAAGAACATTGAATATCAGTTATCTATATCTATTAAGCCAGAGGGCAGCTGTGGAAGTACAATTAAAGCAACGTCGAACTGGACCAATTTCACAATTGCTCTAGGAGATCCGACTGATCCTGAGCTCAAAGAGGACTTCACCAACTGTACCTACTGGATTGAAGTACGTTGAGCGCTTCACCTTCAACGCTATAATTGTATTGTAAGAATACGATTGTGACTATGATTGAAGGGTAGCAGCTTTTGTGTTTAACATAAGCCCCCATTTGGTTTTGAAGAAGGTTCTAACGGCGAAACCTTTGCTTACACTTGCAGCGTGCCGCACTTCTGTAACAAAGTGCACAATTTGAGGGAGCGCACGTCGCACTGTTCGTGGCAATTAATTCCATCGACAATCCTCTAACGCGCTTTTTCCTCTCCCAGATGTACATTCACCTTCCTTTCCACATCCCATCTGCTTTCACGATGAAAAAAGCCTCGAACAACGCGATTTTTTGGTGCGCGTCACACGTCAAAAATGTGAGGTTTTTCAGTCTCCATCCGGCACCGAAATTGAGGTTGAGCTTCTGAGCTTTCTGAGTGCCGGCGATTATTTAAATTATGACGGATGTGTGTACGGTGGTGTAGAAATCAAGACGAACCAGGACCAACGGCTCACTGGCTATAGGTATTGTTAGTGGGAAACATTTGTCGTGCACTATGCTGCAGTCTTTCTATCAACTGCTTAGGTTCTGCTCTAATAGCACGGACGGGACCAGACTCCGTTCACACAATAATCGAGTTCCTGTAATTACGTGGATCCAACTGTTCAGATGGGAAGTGACTTTAAGCTATCGCTATGGTAACAAAGTCAAAGCAATTAGTCCGTGATAATATGCCGTCTTATGAATCTGACTTAGTTTCGAAAAGCGAGCTTCGACCAACTCCTCGAACAGTTCAACCGTTTCCCACTACCACCGAAACTCCACTTGCTGAAACTTCTTTCTAGCTTTCCCGTGAAGCCACACGCAAATGTGTGGACTATCCAACGTATGTAAATGCTTCGAACAGTTTTGATCGAATGAATTAAATGGATTTTTCAGCTGCCCACCTTATGCTGACACTGTTAAAACCTGCTATGATCAATCCTATATAACCTTTTGCCCGAAATTATGTAATCTGTGCAATGCTCCTCAGTCTACCAACACCGCCGCCGGAGTTCGTCATTCTCACAAAAAATAATGATCAATCCTTTCGAGGGACGTTTTTGTGTTAAAGAAAGTTGCTCATGTTAATAAATCCTTCATCGGAGCTGTGAACTTTGCTGAGCACAGTGAACAGAGGGCTATATAGTCAGCTCCATACTGCAAAGGCATGTCCGATCCGTGGAATCTCTGTGTAACTACAGGTCGTTCGCCCTCCAATAGATACGATGTTGGCATTGATATGAACAGGGTGGCCGATAAAGTAAATAAGTATACGGAGGGTCAATATCGCAATAGAGGATATCTGATACATCGTTCCGAGCAGAACACGTGCAACAAAGAACTAGTGGAAACAACAGCCGATCAACTTCAACTTCGGCCGGTTGAAGAAGAAGTAAAAAAGTGTTTAATCACGGTTTTCGTTAGGAGAGTCTCACGGTTTCGGTCATGATGTTCTTCTCGAGAACCACATTCCAGTACATTCCAACAAACTGACTCACCTCTATCAAGTCGCTTCTTGAATAGGGCGGGATGCCTAGTAACTCTTAGGCCGATGTCAGACTTTGCGAATCGCGCGATTCGCTACTAGCGATTCGCGCTAGCGTCCGCGGTCGCGTTGCGGTACCAGCCAATTGAGTGATTCACTGGCCGCGACGCGACCGCAGACGCTAGCGAATCGCGCGATTCGCAAAGTCTGACATCGGCCTTAAGACCAACACATCAATTATTTCAAGAACGGTTTAATTTCGATTTTCAATGAACGGTTTACTTCCTCATCACCTTCTTTCTCTAGTAAATGAATAAGTAAACCACTGCCTTGTTGTTTCAGTGGAACGATGCAACCAGCTATAGCAACGAGTGGCGCACATGGGCGTTTCAACCCCGACGTGTATGCATTCACCGTGCAATAATTACGAAGTCACAGTCGGCAGCTTTTCGA